ACAACAACAATAACAACAACAACAACAACAACAACAACAACAACAACAATAACAACAACAACAACAACAATAACAACAGCAACAACAATATGCCAGAACCCCCCACACAAAAAAAATGCATGTACACAAAAAACAATAGCACCGATAAACAAAACAACAACAAGCAATTACACAAAAAAAGTTTCACTCTTGTATCATTTTTAGAAGATTTGCTTGCAAATTTACGCCTCTATTGACGAATTTAGATTATTTAAAAGGTACACACTGCTTCGATCCTGCGTGTAACGTGGAGGTGTAGGGTTAAGTAGAAATAGGTAGAGAATTCTCGATAAATTCCTGCTGTTGCTGAAAATGGCTTGTATCAGAAGAAAAAAAAAAACCCAACGTAATTCTTATGGGACAAGAAGCCAGCCTTCAAAATCCCTTAAACATTATAAAAAAATAAGCGCCGAAATCACACAAAACATGGCGTATAACTTCAAAACTATAATCAGAGCGGAAGTCATTTTTTAAAGCAAAAATAAAAACAAAAACCCCCACAAAAACCAAAGAAAAGCTGGATTAATTTATGGCGGACATAGCACGACATTCATCATGAATGAGACAATAACATACCTTACAATAATAATCTGCAGGATTTTTCCCGTGAATAACATTTTTCTTTTAAATAAATTTTTTGAATAAATAAATAAATAAATGAGTGAATGAATAAATAAAAAAATTAATGAATACATAAATGAATGAATGAATAAATAAATAATGCAAGGGGAAAAAACTTCTCTGTGACAAAACACTCACAGCCCAGCAATCAGAATCAGAAGTAACAAGATGAGAATATTCCCAAGGCAATCAACCCCGAGTCAACTCTTGCACGTTCACAGATGGGCAAAGACCTGGGAGGCGCTCATATGACCTTGTGCAGTTGCGAGCGCCGTAAAACCTCTACTAAAAACTAAGACAAAGACCTGGGAGGACAGAGGGGTGAGCAGCCAGCCACCGTCACAGGACTAATTGACCAGTGTCCTCTGAGGTTCCCTAAACAGGAGGACTTCTGGGACATTTGGGGGACACTGGATACGATAGGACTCAGGAGAGTGGGGCTCCAGAGAGAGCTATTGGGGAATTGGGGGAGGGGCTTAGAGATGACACATTCAGTCACAGTATTGTTTAGTAGAGCGGGGGGAGGGAGGGGGAGGGACACATTTGGGTGGTGGATAGGGTGGGGGAGAGAGAGGGTGGATAGGAAGAGGGGAGGGGAGTAGTGAGAGGGAGAGAGGGAGGAGAGTAGAGAGAGAGAGAGATCATCTAACCCTTTGCTTTTGTGCACTTACAGGGCGAGTCAAGTAGGCCGGGAAATTGGCAAGTTTGAGAAAAGCTTTTACGGTGCTATCGACATATTATTTAGGTCACTCTGAAGAGCCTGAAAGCAGGTTAGGACATGAACGATACTGAAAAGAGAAGTACAGCATTCCTGGGGAAACCACAAAATAGCGGCCATCAAGCAGACACACACGAGAGTAGGGCAAACGAGGAGGCGTTGTATTCCGGGTAGAAGATATGGGAGGAAGGGGAGAAGGAATGAGCAGAGGGGTGGAGGGAGGGAGGAAGGGGGTGGGGGAAGAAAGGAGACAGAGAGGAAAAGGGTGGGGGTGAGGAACGAGGAAGAGAGGGGGGTGAGGAAGAATGAGGAGATGGATTTCCAGAAAATGCCTGTAGATGTTATCGATTTGGGACTGGGAATTTGCTGGGGACATATTTACCGATGCGCCATCGTCCGAAATCTCGTCAACATCTCGCCCGGGATCGACTTCCGGTCGCGCCCACGTGACCCGCTGTCAGGCAACAAACCGCCATAAGTGTCATGGCGGGAGA